ATGGAAACTAACTGAGAAGAATGGATGTTATAAACGTCACAGCAGCGCTCACTTGGTTGCCTCTTGCACATCGAATGGTAGGTATAAGCAGTGGAGTTCCAAAGGTCAGCATCACCAACTATTGCACTTGGAACGAAAGGAGGACCAAAAGCCAAAAAACGAGCAGCTATTGCAGTGTTTCTGGTTCACGACACGAAGTACGACAGGATATAGTACTTGTCCGTCCACAAGGCACTCTTAGTTCAATTGAGAGTCAAGCGTTGCTCAACAGTGGGTCAGATGTAACCTCAGCACAGGAAGATTTGTTATTAGAGGTTGGAATAGAGTATTGACCTGAATCGCTTGAGATGAGGACGCTGACGGGTACATGGGCGATTAACACAAGCTCCGTCGTTTCCAGCTGACTTCATTGACCAGTGATGATGCGATTGATGTTCCTCGTGCTTAACTCATTAAATGATCGCATTTTACAACCCGTCAAAAATGCCACTCTAGCTGTGGATTGTCAGGGGTGTACAAGTTGGCAAACTCCGAGACAACCGTACGAGATGTACCTGAAGCCAATTGGCACTTACGGCATCGATTCGGTAGGAGAAATCAGCCATGTACTATAGGAGGCCCACTTGGATTGACGCTGATTGGGCCAGTGGAATGGATAAGTCTCATTTGATACGGTACGTGAAATCAGCAATCTGCGGAGCCGCAACTATACGGTAGTGATCAGTCTCAAGTAAACATAGACAGGACGTGCTTCACAGACGGTGTACAGCTCGCGCTTCCGCGATCGGGCGCTAGCAATGGCAACCACATGCGTAGCGCGATCATCTTGCAAGGCTCGGAAATAGACGATTGTTTTAGGAGTTCTGCTAGTGAACCTGCCAGGAAGTCGCTTCTGCATGTATCCGTGGTTTCTGTTCATGTCGTCCACCAGGAGACGAAATCAGATGTGCTGAATGTAAATAAGGCGCGCCAATCCCCAGAGCGCCCCCACTAGATGAAGTGGAACATTATGGATTCATATCGTGTATGGATGCAGTTTAATTTTCCTCGATTACCGTCACCGATGAGCACCGAGATGAATGACATTTGCGCACATGCTGATGGCTCCACTGATAACAACCCTGAGCTTTCGAGTTCGAACTAACTTGGGAATACACATCCGATGAGAGCGGAGTCAAGTGCAGTGCGATGAACTGATCAGTTCATACTGCTACCCTGGATGTTCCCACCAAGAATAATACGCACTTACAAGAAGATTTCCGACCCTATTGTAATCTTGGGATTCCAAAATGGTGCGATTACCATACGAGTTGACGATTCATGATAATTCCCTGTGCCATATATTGTCCACAGTTCAGAATGCGGGTGCTGAAGACCATGATGCGCTTTCCACGTATTGTTTAAACGATGCTCAAGTAGGTGTCACGTTAACCGCTGGTGGAATATAGACGTTTGTGAATGGCTCTGTGGATTCTAATGGCGTGATGGCAGAAAGCAGTGACGGCTCAATTTTCGTATATATATATATATATATATATATATATATATATATATCAACCTGAGGAGTGGGAAAGACAGCAAGAAGCATTTGGAATCGAAGGAAAGTATAATTGGATTAAAAATAGGACGAACGAAACATTTCTTGTTTGTTTTTCACACGCTGATATACTCATTTTTGTCAATTTTAACGTTCCAGGCATAAAACACGTAAGTCAATACAATGCTGTACATAATTTCTCCAATGAGTTCAGTTACTGGCTATGTCCCCATCCAAGAAGACGTACAAGTCCAACGACGGCGATTTCATGCACTGTCGCCAAATAGAAGACTGACCACCACGCGGTCGCCTACATCGTGATCCTGAATGAGTACACAAAGCGCAGCAGGGCAAACGATCAGGCGCCATGCGTAGGACGTGACCGAGTCATCGCAATCGGCGCAACAAAGTTAGCTTCTTAAAGGTAGTAATCGCATGCCCCAGGACATGGTCACGTTAAACTCGGTGTTGTAATAACACACGAGCAAACCTCCCCAAACAAAAACAGAAAGGCGGCGCATGTCTTCCGCGCAAATTGGCCAGGATTCCTAAAAAAACGCAACAAACAGAAGCGACGTAAACGCGACCCTTTATCGAGATGGAGACGTCACGAAGACGCAACAAGTGCCTCAGATGGACAAATGCTAATCGGCCTGCAGCGATGCGAAGAGAAACCTTCTTGATGATTGTACTGCCAGCAGAAACACCGTGCCAAAATTAGACGAAACTATCTACCTGTTCAAGTTATGCACTTTCAAAGGTGAACACGGGAGCGGGTGTGGTCCAATCCTAAAGAAACCGTTTACACTTCGATAGAGCGAAGTTCATGTCATACTTAGATGCTTCAACCGCCGAACGAGTAAGAATGAGTTGCAAACTCGCTGGACCGTCGCCAAGTAAGGCGATAGCAGCAGCATAACCTAAATCAGTCGCGCTCCAGACCACAAATTAGGAAGCCATCTAGGGCTCTCGACAGGACGTCTTCGGCTGCAAGGATGAAGAGGAGACATGGGGCAGCGCTGTCGCAAACCACTACGACAACGAAGCACGAAGGAAGCTTGCCACAGACCATCACACTACCAGACATGCGGAGGTAAAGTGTGCGTAAGATGGCGGTATACTTCTCTGGCACCCTGTTCTTTAGCAGGCAGCGCCATAAAGTAGATCGCTCAACAAGTCAAAAAGCGCCCGTGTCTAGGAATGTGACAATAGTGTGCCCGTGGTGTTCGAGGCGAAGGCGGAGCGTGATTATGTGATCAACGCATCCACGGCCAAGACGAAAACCAGGTTGTTCTTCATCGTGGTATGGTTTACGCATTGAGGATAGTCTGCGAAGCAGTATGGATGTCAATAATTATAAAGTAGCGTGCTTAGTTAATGGTAGGTGGCCTTGGAAGCAGCAGAACTGCAGTCGGGTGGCATAAGCAGAAACTGCAAATAAACAGCGTCTAGTGCCACTTCGTAAATAAACCTTAATTGATGCTATTACGCGCGCTCCCCAAAAACGGCTGCTCACGGAAACCTATCCACATGGAGATAAACCTGCAGTACCGGAGAGAACGCGGTCCATTTCAGTTTCCCCTGTGAATCAAAAGAAGCAGCGCACGTCTTTGCGAATTCAGTCAACTGTATACTGCACATAAAGCGATCTTTCTGAAACTGTGCGAAGGCTGATACAGGATGCGGCTGAATGCATGTGACAAATTCACGGTTCTACGTAGATTAAGATAGTGCCAGGATAACGAAATCTATGCAAGTGAAGGATAATGAACTTCAACAGAAGCCTATGGTGTGCAAACCTGACCGCAAGGCGGTGGGAATATGGCAATGACACAAATTTACAGAAAGGGTGCCAAAAGAAATGAAAACTGGCAGCTCAGGTTGTTCAGATGGCGGTTGAACTGTTCACTGAGCTTGGCAATTTTGTTGTAAACGTTTTGTCAGCAATCGGGGGGACATCATCAGTGCGTTGTTACGTAGCATGTAGAAGCGTAAAGAGAAACCTCAATCTCACCGAGGCTTCGCTAGGCTACTACACGCTACGTAACAACACACTAATGATGTCACCTCGGTTAGTGATAAAGCGTTCGCAACAAAATTGCAAAGCTCAGTGAACAGTTTAACTGCCAAACGATGCCATGTTGGCTCCAACCACCAACTGGGAGGGTAGGGAGACTGAATTTGTCTGAGTTTTGACCAAAGGCAACCAATGTGAAAGCATTTGCCAAGTGACCGGATGAAAACAGTAAGCAGTGCACAATGGATCGAAGAGGTACAGAAATCGTCAAGTCACGTTAGAGTCCAGTCTTGTAGCGGCTATCGAACATTGCCAGTATTTGATCAATTAAAAAGTTGGTGGCGTATTGGCCCAGCCTTGTAACAAAGTCTAGCATCTTGAATGTGTAAGGAAATACTGATTTGCAGTAATGTACGAAAGTATTAAGTATGGTGCTGCGTCTAACCGCAGAAAAGTTATGCACACCAACTCCCGCGATGTGTTTCGTTTGCACGACTCGCGGCTGTATGGAAGAAGAGGGGGGCAAGCGATGAGGTTGGGGCCTTCCGGCTCCCAGGTAATGGTCCGAAAAACGATGGGTACGATTGACTAGACATACGTAGAGAGAAAGCCGAACACGACTCTTGCTTTGCACCATCATCAAACCACGATCTCATCGACGTGGTCCACATTGAGATTACGCAACGCAATCCATTCACAAAAGGGAAAGATTCACCAAGAAAAACGAAACAATATATTTATCTAGCTTTGACTTTACTTTTTCGACATTTTTAAAAGCATCCGAATGAATTGAGGTGTTTCGCACCTGAAAACAACGTTCAGAATGATGATGATGAGATGGCATGTGAAAACCTAGTCAACATCCAGTGGAGGAGGTAAATCGGGACTTCCAAGAAGTATCTGTTAATAATCCATTTCATACGGTAGCTTTATCAGAAAGGTATGCAATCTGTCGCATACAGATGCTAGATTGGTTTCCATGGATGTTAAAAAAAGATTGGCGATCTGGTAGGTTGTTACGAAACCTGCAATCTAGTTATTGCGACAATATAGGTCACGTTATAGAGGATGCCTTTGAGTGGTTTGCTCAAACACGACCTAAGGAAACAAGCAGCTGGCCTGACGCAACCGACTTGATCGAAAAGGTCAAATACCAATCTTCCTGGATGGTCAATTGATGCAAGCTATTCTCTACCCGCTCACAAATGTGATGTACCAGACGCTCTGGGTGGTTTCTTAACTTTAAACGAACTCTAATCAACCTTCGTTTAATCATCATTATGACTTACACGCTCGCGCTTACACACACCCTAAGGAGATAACAAACACATTCGGCGAAACCAAACGAAACAGAGTTCTCGAATGCGTCAACAGTTGGTACAGAGCGTCAAATGTAACCGAGAAACCGGCAAATCTGGGTCGGAAAATTACAATCCTCTAGCTCACCATCTCAGTCATTTCGGATTCGTCAGGCCCAGCATCTGCCTCAGTAGCATGCGCTGCAGCCGAACCGTTCTTATCTGCCCTCTTCAAGGCACCGGTTGTGGAATCCGCAACGTCCACTGACTCCCCTGTTACATGGGCGTCGGATACTGAAGATGTGGGTTGCGACAACGAACAAGAATCCGGCTCCGAAGATACCTGAGACCCAGTTGCCTAACCAATGAAAGGACACAAACAAAAGGAAGACTCACAACTACAATCAATACAACGCGTAGCTAAAATCTAAGTGCGGGAAATGCAATATACAATGGAACAATACAAACACAACAATACGATATAAAAGTCGGATGAGGAACTTGTGCTTGTCAACGTTGTTACAAAACGGGGTGAGGTAAAAAGTCAATCGAGCCCAATCAACAGTGAAGGTCAGAGCACACATGAGGCCGTGAGAGCAAATGAACACCAGAAACCAGTCACATCGCAAATGGGATATGAAACTGACGGATTCGTTGATCGGATGCAAGTGACTCTATAGATTAGCCGGAATTCGTGTGTGCGATGGAGAAATCATCGTGGTTTGTTTAACTGCTACAAAGGATGAGACTCGAAGCAAAAACGTCGTCGCTTATGGAGGCGTGCGAACAATGTACACAGAACGATTCCGCTGGTCACACATGCTGTAACTTTCCGTGTTCCATTTGCTGAAGCACCAACCTTTGAAACAAAACACGCAATGTGAAGCGGCTTAAACGGAAGTCGGCAGATAAAAATTGGCATTCAAAGCACGATTGAAAGGGAGGGGATGAAAAAGGTCAGATGCGACAATCTAAAATGAGGTGGGAGTTCAGTGGACATTCAGGCTATCAGTAGGATTGGACAGGGAAGCCGCGAATACGCGACGGGTGCATGTGATTAGAAGATTGCAGACCCACGTTTTAACGTCACAAATTATAAAATCGTTTTTGCTCGTAAACGCACAGGAAAGCGAGCAGATCAACCTTCAACGACCACCACCTAACCTAGAAAGAAAAAATTAGCAATATCCTTAATGGGATCCATAAACATCAACCACAGGCAACATGGAGTCGCCGTAGGTATTGGCCGGCAATTTCAATGTTAACATTGCGCCGATTCACAGACCATCTAATCGAGTGACTGCGTAACTGTCGTGGCTAGAGGGGCACGGGAAGACATTGAAACCATTGTCTCAGATGACATTCAGGAAGATTATCTGAGACACATACGCATATTCTATTGCGAAACGCGAAAGAAAAACTATAGATAAGAAAATCTCGTATCATTTGTGGGACTGAATTTGAATATGCGCTGGATCCCGTAAATGAGCACCAAGTACATGATCAGCTTTTAGCGGACGCTCTTCCGGTCTCGACACAGGAGACTGGAAGAAAAAATGAAAACGGATGTCTAGGAATCATGGAGCAAAACATAGACAAACACAGGTGTATTGTTGGGAAGCATAACACGTTTCAACAAGAGAAAATTGTGCATAAAGACTAATGGCATATCAGTAGCGGAACCAAGGCATCGGTGCCTGCGGGCTATATAACTGATATTGAGTATTCAAGCAGGACACAAAGTGTTGAGGGCGATGAAAGAAGTGTGCTCGCAACGACGTTAGATAAAAGGCTATGTGAAGCCCACATTAAATAAGCAGAAGATCTATAGAACAGTTGAGACGACAGTACAGACATGAAGGTGGGGTAGTTAATGGATACAACGATACAATTTAGCAAATTTGCGCCCGTTAACACGTATGATTATGATCACATTAGTACTCGTTGATTCTCAAATGAACCCGTGTATGAGCGAGCGGCTAGCAATCGGAACACAGGGACAGAACCGCAACCGTTTGCTGCCAATGATAAGCAATGAAGGAGAGGGTGCTAAATTGTGACAAGTGCATCGTAGTGGGTGGATCCAACTGATCAAAATTCACGTTCCAAAAAAAGATACGCACCACAGCGGCAATTTAAGGGAAATAGGGAACAATTAAAACCGGTAAGATAGATAGTAGAGTAAGAATGAAAGGTATCCAGGGGAACAGCGCCAATGACCCCCCAACATCACCATATTCGATAGCATATGTAAACTGCGATTTGACCGATCCGAAGTACACCATTTTTTGAAGTGACCAGCCTAAACTGCGAACAGCCTTCCGGTGAATCGGTTCGTGTTCTTTGGCCATGTCCCAAACACATGCATCCATGGTAAACAAGACATTCCTAGACAGCCAGCACTTGGAGCTTATATATATATATATATATATATATATATATATATATATATATAACCGGGAGGCAGTTGGATGGGGGCCACGTTTCATCAACGGAGCCGGCCCACACTCCTTCAAAAAGCAGAGCAGAAGCATACATGCCTAATTGGGAAATCATGCGTACCAGACGTACACAAGACGGTGGCTGGGCCGTAGCCCGTTCCACATTGGATGCATGAATCCACTATGTGAGCCTAACACGGCCACGAGGACCGCGCACCTCATCATCTCCAGCAACGAGTAACTGTCTCCTGGAGCCAGAATAGGCGTGTGGTGGGTACTAGACAAGTAGCCACCTTATCAACATTCATATCAAGCGCAGCCACACCGGGGATTTCAATCAACAGCAAACCCCTGAAAAGGAAGAAGCTCAAGACGCAGGCACACGCAGAGACCAAATGTAACGACGATGCGGCACACGTACCACATCAACCGCACCATTGACTCGGGTTGGTAAATTGAATCTGAAGCAGCGAACTTACCAAGGGCCGCGCTGATGATGACTACACATTTAGCATACTCGTCTTCTGTTAGATGTTGGCCAAACGAGGCGGCGCTAGTGGCATACTCAACCTCCTTCGCTGAGGCACCCGCAACCGTATGTGTTACAGAACAATGCGGTCGATGTCGATGGGCGATACACCATCGACGACTGTCGTTTTCTTTCCGCATGCGGTAGTGATTTCTCCTGCATCTGTGCAAACACCCCCTTGTAGCTCTCGCCATCGGCGCCGATCTAGTGCCATCAACTCCCAACACCTGAAAGAGACATTGTTTCGTAATAAACTCACCTTGATCATGTCCTGGTAAAGTAAACCCCAGTTTTCCCAAGTGCCGCTTCCCTCAACGCAGATGGCCATAAAGCAGCTGCTTCGGTATCCGGGTCAAATCCATGCGGCAAATACGCCCGAGTCACCTGAGATGCCTCAGCAGAAGTATGCAGTCCACTGCACACATGCTACCACGAACGAGCACCTCCATGTCTACAAGTCGGTCAAGCCAGCCGAGGTGCTTAATACAATGCCGACACTGTTGATGGAAACGTTCCAGACAACGGATATCCTTCCGATAGAGCGTCCAGATTTCGCTGCCGTATAGAAGAATGGACAGCATCATCGACTTGTACACCAGCAGCTTCGTACAAACAGTAAGCTACTCATCGTTCCTCTTGGCCGCGCCAATACCATAGGGACCGATCACGTCTGCCCACATCGATGCATCATGTCCAACGCGCGCGTTGAAATCATCTGTAGAAATAGTCGATCGCTCCTCGACACACACCGCATCACGGATGATAACTGAGCGTAAAACTGCTCCCTCGTGTCATCAGGGCAACACAAAGTAAATAAAGTAGCAAACTTATCGCTCTAAGTCGCAGTCGGAGAGTCATCAAACGGAGGCTGATACCAGACGGCTCTGCTGCCAGCTGGTCATTTAGGCGGTCGGATAGTGCAAATCGGACCCCATGTTCACGTGGTGCTGAGATCGCGTTTCCCACCCAGTAGAACGCATAGCCAGCACCTGCTTTAAGCAACTTACCTTGCTCAGCGAGCCGGGTCTCAGAGCGCCGCAATATCGATGTTGTGGCGCGCCAGTTCCAACTCGACCAGTGAAATGCGTCACTGGGTAGGCTCACTCGTAATCCGGTCGTCCAACGAGCTCACGTTCCAGGACCCGATGCTGAGTATTTTGCGGGTAGGCATACGATTGCGTTAGCGGGCAACCGTATGAGCGGTGACGACCTGAATTGGAGGAAGTAGTGTATTGGGTGAAACGGGGAGAAGGACAGTATGTGCAGGGGAAGAAGAAAGAAGGGGGCGCCAGCAGTAGTATGTTTTCGCCTATCCACCCCGCTATATATATATATATATATATATATATATATATATATATATATATATATATCCTGTGAATGCGACACTGGCGGACATTCACATTGCGCCTGTCTGGCGATGATGCAGCTTTAAATGCCGTCCAAGCTGGCGTCGGCATTGTTTTGAGTACCCGGGCTGAAGCTGCCCTGATCGATTGGATCCCAGTCAACAGTCGGATGAGCGCCGTTAGATTAGCTGGTTCGTTCCATGCTACGAAGTCGAGCGGGAACAAACGGTGCCTGTTTGTCATTGTGGCCCATGCTCCCACAAACTGCAGCACTGATTCGGTGAAAGATTATTTCTATCAGCAACTTCACGATCTCCTTCGCTGCAGAGGAAGTACTGATACTGTGGTGTTGGCTAGCGATCTAAACTCTCAAGTCGGAAAACTGTCCTCTGAGGAGCTTCATCTGGGCGGCCAACATGGTGTAGGCTCCAGTAATGATAACGGTGAGCAATTGCTACAGCTGTGTGAAACTGCTCATCTCTTTCTCGCGAGCACAAACTTTCGACACAGCACCGCAGAGGCGTGACTTGGCGCCCACCAGCTTCGCACCAGCCATGGACGCAAATCAATCATATCGCGATCAGTTACCGCTGTAGAGGCTGTGTCCCAAAACTGTCGCTAGATTTGGAGCATGAGCGTGGACCCTAACGACACACTTGTCTGCGCCGACCTCCGGGTGCTTTTCGGTGGATGTCCGTAACGTCGATGTGAAGGGATTGACACCAGCCAGCTGGCGAAGCCAGGTGTTCTGAATGTGTATCAAAGTGCGCTGATATCTGGGCTGAGTAAGCGCCCACTAAACACCGTTGAAGATCACTGGTCGCATATTCGTCAAGCGTTGCTGTTAGCAGGCATGTCTTCATGTGGCAAAGCAAATTGCCAAACCGGACATTGGGTCTCTACACAGTCTATGGAACTTATGGATGCTCGCCGACGTATTCCGGCTGGAAGCGAATACAATGAGGCTCGCAAAAAATCTCAGGGCAAAACTACGTGGTAGTCTTAAGAAGGACCGCGAAACCTGGTGGTCTCATCGTGCCTCTGAGATGGAAACAGACGCTGCCGTTGGTAATCATTGTAATTTATTCCGTCTGATACGGGAAACAGGCAGCAGGAGACATGGTGTTAGCGAGACCGTACGCGATGAGAGTGGGCAGCCGATCCACAGCTTGTCAAAACGCTTGGAGCGTTGGGCTGAACACTTTGCAAAGCAATTTAACCAACCTGAGTTATCGCTTTCTTCTTCGGCATTGAGCGCCCTTCTCCTTGGGCTGTCTCCTTGGATCCGCCCTCACAAGCAGAAGTCGAACGTGAGATCAGGCTGTTGAAATTGCATAAGGCCGCAGGGTCAGAGGGAATTCCCCCAGCCCTTTTCAAATACGGGGACCTGCTCTAATAGATGATTTACACGAGTTGCTACTGAAACTTTGGGAGCAGGAGACTGTCCCGATAGACTGGAGCCGCTCCGTCATTGTCCCAATATTCAAGCGAGGCTCCAATTCGGAATGCAGCAACCATAGAGGGATCAAGCTGATCTCAATTGCCTCTAAATTACTTGCATCTGTTATTCTCCACAGACTGACTGGCACTCGTGAAAGCCAGATTCGTGAAGAGCAAGCCGGATTTCGTCAAGGTCGCGGCTGCATCGACCACATCTTCACCTTGCGTCAATTGTTGGAGCACCGCCATGTTTACTAGCGACCAAGCGTTGTCGTGTTTTTGACATAAAAGGTGCCTTCGACTCAGTCGATCGATGTGCCCTTTGGGAGTGTCTGCTGAGGAAAGGTGTGGATGATAAATAGGTAAACATTATCAAAGCGCTGTACGCGTATGAATCGGACAGAGTAAGAGTTAATGGCAGACTGTCGCCACCCTTCAGTATCACCAGCGGTGTGAGACAAGGTTGCCCGCTGTAACCTTTCCTCTTTAACTTCGCTATGGATGAAGTCATGGAAACAGCGTTGGCTGGACACGACCTAGAAGGTGTAGAGCAACTTCCTGGTGTGCGACTTCTTGACTTGAAGTATGCAGACGATATTGCCCTAATCTGTGACAGCATCCAAACATGCCAAACAGCACTGGACCGTTTAGCACTGGCTGTCAATTGTTTTGGGCTGTGGTTTGCTCCATCGAAATGAAAAGCACTTCTCCAAGATTGGCAAGAACCCACCCTTGGACTGACTCTTGGTGGTGATCAGCTAGAAGTCGTTCAGGAATTCAAGTACCTGGGCAGTTATATTACCGCCCGTGGGATCGAAGATGAGGTTACAAGCCATATAGCGAAATCTCTAGGTGTTTTAGCCAATCTCCGCCACATGTGGCACAGACGTGACATTACTCTTGACCTGAAGGGCAGAGTTTATAACGCAGCTGTCCGTTCAATTTTCCTATATGGTTGTGAAACCTGGCCCATCAGGTCGACAGACATAAAGAGGCTCGTCACATACGATCATCGGTGTCTTCGTAGCTTAATTCATGTCTGGCGAGAGCACCGCGCGAGCAAAGAGCGTGTCCGGCGTCGCATATTTGGTGCAGGAAGAGCGAGTGGTCCGCTCAGCACCCTTATATCATTCACCAAGCTGCAATGGCTGGGCCACGTGTTGCGCATGCCAGCACACCGACTTCCGCGACGTGCAACTTTTGCTCACAGGGGCTGCAGTTGGAAGAAGTAGCCAAAAGCTGACTTGGTCGAGAGAAATGAAAACCCTTACTTCCAAGTTGGCGTCGGTTGGTGCATCCCGACTGTCTGGCTGGGTTCCAAAGGACAATGAACATGTTTGACTGGACACGTTTGCTGATATGGCTAGGAGCCGACCCCAGTGGCGTTTATGTTGTGCGTTCCTTTGTCCATCCCCCTCCTGCATAGACTCTCCCTCCAATCACGATCTCATTCGCTAGGCATAATATAACCCATTTTACGGCACGATAGCCCGCTGTTACCTTTCCGAAACGATGTCCATCCGTTACTGAGGACTCAGCAGGCGGGCCACTGTTGTCCACTTTTTCTTCTTGTCTTTAGTATCGCGGCACAATAGCTGAGGAATGTTCCACCTGCAAAGGAAGCAAGCAATGTTGCACGAATTATCGTGGAATCAACTTGATGATTTGTGTGGGCAAAGTGATTGTACGAATCCTGCGCAAGTCAGGTTGTGGAACCGAACGTGGCGTAAGAGCAATGTGGATTCCGTTCGGGTCGCAGCCATATCGATTTGATGTTTGCGGCTCGACAGTTGCAGGAGAAGTGCAAAGGATGACACCAGCCATTGTACTCGCTGTTTGTTGATTTTAACAAGGCATAGGATACAGTGAACCGCAACGCACTTTAGCTGTTGTTGCATAAGCTTAGCTGTCCGAGTTAAATAACTAAAAAATAAACTGTTTAGTGTCTTTTACGCGATGCACGCCTGCACAGGCATGATGATGGTGAGAAGATAAAAATGATGAGTAAATATATATGGAACAATAAGCTTGTCACGTATATTAGTATATAAAATTTTTATGTGTGCATATAGACTTATGCAGCTGGGTTTAAATGCTTTATAGATGCTTTCCTGCACTTTTTGCCGGTTTCGTAGTTGTCAGTTTTGGAAAAGGGATCCTTGAAAACGATGGACCTGAAGCGGTTGCCCGGATAAGCAAGGTGTGACTTTATCCCCTGGCGAGTCAAAACAGCCACGTCACAATGTTGTTAAACATTTGGCTTTTTATAGGAAGAACGCTTTAAAGCCGAAAAGCCACCACGTCCTGGAACACTGCCGCCGAACTATCCGCTGGAACAGTGTTAACCGAAAAAAACCAGCTGGCTCCACGAGATTGTTTGACCAGCCAGCCCTGTGGTACGCGGGAAAGTGTGCGGCTGACTGCACAGACCTCGGATGAATTTGTCGTTGTCGCCGGCGGGAAGCAAGGCTGTGTCTTAGCCCCAGTTGTGTTTAATATTTATCATCATGCCATGATGTCCTGTGCTTCTGACGCAACTTGTGATAAAGGTATAGAGTACTGTTTAGATGCTGGGATGCTTAACATCTGTCGTTTCGGTGTGAGAACCTTCGTCTGCGAGAAAACTAAACGTATGCTGTCGTTCGCTGTCAACCATGCGTTGTTTGCACTCAGCGCGGATGAGCTGTAGCACATGACTCATGCTCTGGCTTCGACAGTTGTCAAATTCGGGCTCAACATCAACACAATGAAAGCAGTCTGTCACTTACAGCCTTCACCAGATTTGTAATCTGCAATATTCCTGCTTTTTAGCATTGGTAACGAAGTACTGGAAACCACCTCACGCTTTTACAATATGGAGGTGGTGGTTTCGACTGACCACCAAATACACAGTGAGCTTCGTATCCGCGTATCGAATGCAGCGGTGGAATTCGGGAAGCTAGAGTACCGAGTGTGAAACAACCATCAGCTTACCGTCGGCACGAAGTTGTGTTGGGAAGCGCATGTGGGGATACCGAAATTTCCTTACCAGGACATGAACAAAGTTAGCCTCTCACATTCTAATCTTGATTTCAAGTCAGGGGAATCGAAAGCGGTTGATCGGCGCGCATGGCGCTATCTGATCACAAAGGCCGTTGCTGAGGTGCAAGAGAATGCCCTCGTGCGTGCAGAGAAGAAGCGGCAATTGCGGAAGCGACAGTCGACGGTGAGGTGTACTCCATCTACCTGGAGCGCATGATGCTGTAGCACATGCGATCGCGAGTGCCTGAGACAGGCAGGCATAGTTAGCTACTAGCGAGGCATCGAACCGACGACGGGTCCTGCGAAGAACGTTAGCAGAACAGGCGCAGCATTTGTAAGTTCTCTGCTTTCGATTTACTGACATCGTGCTTGCATGCTGGGTTTCTTTATTTCAATTGGTGGGTTTGCTATATTGTCAAATGTTTTTTCATCCCATGTTAATAGCTAGCTGAATTATCTAAAAACTTGTGCAGTCCGCTAAACTACTTTAGTTAATTTCAGTAAGATGTTCGTGTTTGTGGCATTTTCTTAATACATATTTGCTAACGTAACGGATTTGTTCGTAATCAATTTACTTCGTACGCATATGTATTGCTGGAACGAGGCAAACCCGAACAACAGAGCTGGCAGCGCGAGAAGGTTGTTTGCTAACCTGTAAAGTCTTGAACATGCCTGATTTGGTGCGCCACGATGAATTCCAGAATAAAGATTATATAATTATTTATAGTTCGAGGGGTCACCCATGGTTCTCCCTCTAAGAGAGGGTTGCTTTATTGTTCGATGCATGTACATACAAACCCGCATGCTGAAAAGACAGGTACATAAGTTACCGGCTTGAGTACGGTCAACCGTGACTTGCAATCAGGAAGGAGAAAAAGATTATATATTCAGGGCTGCAATCAAAAAATGAAGTAAAGAACTAAACGATCATACAAAGGTTTGGAAGGATAAGGAAGGAATCCACTCCGGCCAACCGGCGAGCAACTATCCAGTATACATAAACAAATGCAAAGGAAAAATTTTCAAATATGAAAGAAATGAACAATGGTTAAAAAACAGCACCGCGAGCCAAAGAGCAGACACACAACTCAGCGGAGGTATAGGAAAAATAATCGAACTGATGACGTCAACAAAAAGATACCAGATACTTAACAACGCACGCGCAACGACAAAGGGATAGCACTCTGCATATACAAGAAGGCAAAAGCTGTGTAACGTACGTTAGAAAGATTGAACTTGTCTTTACACCAGCGTAAATGACCATTCAGACCAGTCGCGTTGGGGAAGATCCGAGAGCAATTAGGACACAGTCCAGCAAGTCTTGGATCGTACGACTGCCTAGATGGGTCGCTGTCTTCATATGAATCATATACACCACCACTCTGAAGAACCCAAACCGGTGAGCGGAGCTGGGAAAAAGAAGCATGCAGGCCATCTGCACTGAAAGTATACTCACAACACACCGTGCACAATACAACTATGGACTGCTGTTGTGTCATGAAAATGCGATGAAAAAGTAGCTGGGAATCGAGCGATCAACATACATGAAACAGTTGTCATGTAAGGAGAAAGCGGACAGCGCACGCTGATGTAAAAATAACAAATAAGAATGTGTCAGCTATACGCCGTAACGGCGCTTCGCTGCCGGACGACCACCACCAGTCGCGCACGAGTTAAGTATTCCGCGAGGACGCCTACTCCTATGCAGATTCAAAGCGGTGACCTTATGATTGCAAGCCAGGCGTGCAGACCACTCGGCCACTGGCAAAGTAAATTAATACAGGGCGTGGAAAATGCGAGTGTGGAGGTCGTAAGTGGTCGCAGTAAAGTAGCCTAGTCCAGCTCAAAAGAGCAAGATAGTTTACGACTTCAAATAGCCCTTAAGCTGCCAATAAAGACTGTGAGCTCAAAGCTCGAAGTCACAATAATGAATTAGCACATAGAGTGTCAGACAACCACACACATAACAATATTCAGCGACTAGCGCACCACTATATGCAGACAAGTAACGCAATTGCATCAGTAATCAACAACAAAATAGATTCGCGAATCGATATCGCGGAACAAATACACAACCCATGGGGAAGTCATCAGTTCAGAGGCCTGGAAACCACCGGTTACTGTACTCCATAAGGTAACCTGTAAGTTTCCAAACCACATCAGCGACATGACCACAAAGAGCAAATCAAAACACTAAACACACTAGTGGCTGACGCGACCCAGTGTAAGATCCAGAAAATGTACACATTCCTACCTCAGAAGATGGACATTGGTCCACAGACGGTTTCTCAATTGCCACGTTGGACCTTGATTGCGGGGAACGCTTGGTAGCGGATCCCTCAGGAACAACCTTCATTGACCCCGTGGTATGGTCAACAACAGACAAGGAAGCTTGCACCGAAGAATCGGAAGGGTCGAAACCATCGTGCATCATATGGGAAGGAGTGGGGCGCCTTGTCTTTCGACCAACTGGAGTATTGGATGCCTTGTGCCCATCCAAATAGGTGGTGATCGAATCCGTAGGACAGTCGGAGTCCACAGGCGAGGTTGATGGAGGGATCTGTAACAAATGAGATACCCAGAGCACCGGACAGATTAGAATTATTAATAATAGCCGAGTGAAAGGTACTTGAAGTGACACCAAACAATGAATAAAAGGAGAGTTGGCGAGCAACTCGAAAATATTAAAAAGGAATTAGGCTGCATCATACAGGAACCAGCAGCATAGTAAAATAAGACCAAACGGTGTCACTAGCACTCGCAGTACAGAACAAGAAGGACACTCGATAGTGCAATCGAGAGGGGGGTAAAACGGAGGTTGCAGGTCCATAGCCAGGCCGGTGGAAGCATGAATTGTTACCCAAGTTGTAGCACGACTAAATATCGTATCCAGCTCTATATTTCAGTAGAATTATCCTGTTACGTTGGTTCAAGCAACAGGGTCTGAACAGGTTTTCCGTGAGCAAATGTACTCGAGACGCGTGCGATGGCGTACGTAGACGCGAAGCAAGAGGGAGGAATCTAACAGCCTAAGAAACAACTCGAGGGAGGACAAACTGGGGTTATGCTTTAGAAATGAATCTACGCTACGAGGGTCGCATAACAAAGGCAGCAGGAGTGTATGTAGCTATAGGATACGACAAGCTCGTTTCATTACAGAAAGTGGAAATTGCAGGAGAAGCATAACATATACACTGACGTTTGGAGTCTCATCCATGTAAGCCCGGCAACACAAGAGTAGTATTTGATTTCCAGGGTTCCTAACGAGGAGCGTCCCGAAATCTGCAACCTTTGCGGGAGCCGGACTTGTCCAGCAGGGTGGTAGAAACACTGTTGCCTTTGTGATCTCGCCACACTTCGATTGGATCGGATATCGAAATAATGTTTCACCAAATCAAAGTCCGTGCTCCGAAGTGGAGTCGCTGTACGTTTCCATGGTGGAATAAGGGTGATATATAAGCACTTCTAGCAGAAGATAGTATGCTTATGGAGCCACCTAGCGAACAAACAGTGCAAACATCGCACCATGTCTTTGACGACATTGCACCAGGCATGTCCTTGTCTCTGATTGGTTGCTTTGATCCCACGTTCATGCGACATCGAATTAAGTGCTGAAACTGTTGTTTTGTGTTCTAACGGTGTATGCGCGAATGTCAGGTTACGACTTCGGTTTTCTTCCTCTTCAGGCACAACAAACTGGCATCGCAAGCTATCATGTCGTCGAAGACTGTTGCCCTTGTTCAATCCTGGACCGATCCCACAATCACCTCAAATGCAGAAGCTGGAGAAGGTTACAGAATCATCATCATCATTACACATAGGCTGAAGGTGAGACATCCTTCAACCATTGTGCCACAGTACATAAAGGTAAGACAAAAAAAGCAAGATGCTGAAAACTATAGAATGCCACAAAAACAGGCGACAGACTAAGTAGTAACATATTATGCATGAAGACAGAGATCGAGATCGGAAGGGAATGATAAGCGGGATGGGGAGGGACAAAGAAACTCACAACACAAACGTCACTGAGGTCAGCTGCTTGCCATGTGAATTAGTGCATCCAACCAAACGTGTACATAGTCCTCCGGACCCCAACCCGGCAGTCGGGATGCAACAACCGACGCAAATTCGAAGTGAGGGATTTCATTCCCCTTGACCAAGTCATCGATTGACCTGCCCTCCTCTTCGTCCATCCGCATGCAAGGCGCACAAACAATACACGTCGCGGAAGTCGGTGGGCTGGCATGCGCAACACGTGGCCCAACCATCGGAGTCTAGTGCGTGATATAATGGTGCTGAACGGTTCACTAGCACTTCCTGAACCAAATACACGACGCCGAGCACGCTCATTCCTCACGCGGTGCTCCCATCAGAAATGACCTAAGCTGCGAAGACGGTGATGATCGAACTTGAGTAGCCACTTCATGTCTGTCGACTTGATGGGCCAGGTTTCGGAACCATACAGTAGGGTCGAACGAACGGCTGTATTGTAAACTCTGCTCTTCAGAGCGAGAGTGATATCGCGCCTGCGCCACAAATGGAGGAGATTGGCAAAAGCGCCTCGAGTTTTTGCCATGCGGTTTTTTATCTCATCTTCCGTTTCATCAGCGGTGATATAGCTATCAAGATACTTGAATTTCTCGACGACTTCTAGCTGATCCCACCAAGGGTAATCGCAGGTGGGGGTCCGTGCGAATTTTGAGGAAGGACTTTGCAATTCGATGATGCAAACCATAGCCCAAAACTAATTTGTTCAGTGCAACTTAGGACGTCTGAAAGCTGTCACAGATAAGGGCAATGTCGTCGGCGCACTCCAAGGCAAGAAGTCGTTCACCTGGGAGCAGCTCCACGCCTTGCAGGTTGTGTCCAGTGAACGCAGTTTCCAGGATCTCGTCGATGGAGAAAATAAAAAGGAAAGGTGACAGCCAGCATCCTAGTCTCACATCGTTAGATATATTGAAACGCGGCGACAGCTTGCAGTAAGTCATCACACAGCCCGAACTATGAGAGTACAGCGCTCTTATGATATTTACGTATTTCGCAAGCACAACCTTCCTCAGTAGACAGTTCCAAAGGGCACATTGATCAGCCGAATTGAAGGCTTTTGATGTCCGGGAAAACGAATAAGGTGGTTAGCCGATAAATATGGCGGTGCTCCAACAATTGACGTGGTGTGAAGATGTGATCAATACAACCGCCAGTTCGACAAAACCCGGCTTGTTCCTGGAGAATTTGGCTTTCACGTGTGTCAGCAAGTCTATGAAGAACTACAGAGGCGAGTATCATACACGCAATTGAGATCAGACTGATCCCTCTATGATTGCCGCATTCAGAACGTAAGCCCTCTTGAAAATTGGGACTATTATCAAGCAACTCCAGTCTGTCGGGGCAGTTTCTTGCTCCCACAAGTTTCACAAGTAAGTTGTGCAAATCATCTACAAAAGTCCCACGAATTTGAAGCGAGCTGAAGGGATTCTGTTCGCTCCTGTAGCCATATTTACGTTCAACAGTCTGATCTCACGTCCGACTTCTATGCGTGAAGGCGGATCCGTCGGGATGGCGAAGGGAGAAGGGCCATCGATGGCCGAAAGAGAAGCAGGTAATTCTGGATAATTAAGCTGCTTTTCAAAGTGTTCGGCTCAACGCTTTAAGCGTTTTGACAAACTGTTGATCAACCGTCCACTCTCATCACGTATGGTCTAGGTAACACTAGGTATCATGCGCGTTTCGCGTATCAAAAGGAATAACTGCTGTTGGTTAATAAGGGAAGCGACCATTACCATCTCCGATGCACGAGACCATCACGCTTCGCGGTCTCTCTTCAGGCTAGCGCATAGTTTCGACCTGAGGTTTTTGCGAGTCTCGGTGTGTTCGCTTCCAGCCGGAATGTGTCGACGAGGATCCAAAAGTTGCAGAGACTGCATAGAGACACAATATCCAGCTTGGGAACTTGATTTGCTCTATGAAGACATTCTTGCTGCTAATAACCTCTGTTGTATATGAGACCAGTGGCCCTCTTCTGTGTTCAGATATCGTTTACTCATCCCGGATGCCAGGGTACTTGGATACGCATTCAGGATATTCGGGTTCGCCAGATGGCATGTATCTATGCGCTCACAGAGACGCCGCATGCACCTACTGAAGCGAAGATCGGTACAAACGAGTGCGTGGTCAGAGTCCCCGCTTGTGCTCCGAATTGAGCGAGTTTTGGACACAGCCAATCCAGCAATAACTGATGGCGATTTGTGTCTATGGCTGGTTTGAGGCGAGTGGGTGCCATGGTACCCTTCTGCGAGTGCTATGTCGGAAGTTAGTGCGCGCGAGAAATAGATGAGTATCTTCATACCTGTGTAGCATACGCTCACTGTTATCAGTACGGGAGTCTACAACGTGTTGGCCGCCCAGATGAAGCTCATGAGTAGACAGTTTTCCAACTTGGCTGTTTAGATCGCCAGCTAGGATCATAGTATCCTTACAATTTCCGTGCCGAAGGAGCTCGTTCAGTTGGTGATAGAATTGATCTTTCACCGAATCAATGCTACAATTTGTGGGCGCGAAGGCCTCAATAAGAAACATGCACCGTTTGTCTACGCGCAACTTCGAAACTCTGAACCAGCCAGCCAATCTGACGGCGCATATCCGACTGATGACTTGGATTCAGTCAACCAGGACAGCTTCAGATCGGGAACTAAGAACAATGCCCACACCGGCTTCACCAGTATTCGAAGCTGCGTTATCTCTGGATAAGCACAATGAGAACGCACCACCAGTGCCGCTTGTGGGGGATCGACACATAATCACTAAACTCGCATCATGCAGGCGGGTTTCCGATAAGCAGCAAATGTTGATCGATAGGGTCTCGAGTGTTCGGACAAGTGCTGCCTGTGGGCCAATCTGCAACGAAGTGTGCACGAGAGGCGTGTCAGTCTTAGCGAGGATCGGGGGCTCCAAGGTGAAACGGATGTATTGACGTTGGCCAATGGGTTGAAAATGGACTTGGCAACGGGATTGGGCCGACGTCCTGCGATTGCGGGTGAGTTGAAAGTGGAAGACAAGCGACCATTGAAACAAGAGGGGGGAAGGAAAACAATTGGGGGATTGAAAACAAGGGGATGAAAAGGATGAAAAAGTGCAAGAGGAGGGATAAGAAGACTGTGAGGCTTAAGCAGTAGCATCCAAATTCTTAACCACCCTGCACGATGCAGCAGATAGGGCGCCGTTTAATATCCTCTGCGACGGCCAGAGCGCCGAGAAATCATGTGGAAAGTAACTCATATTTGTATTGCGTGGACAGGATACTGTCAGGATGCCCAGGCCTAGACAGGAGAACCATCAGGGTTCTCAACCAAAGCCTTTGGTTCAAAATCCTGGCCGCAAAGCAGCGGGTTTGTGGCACTTGGCTACAGAGAGACCGTTTTATAGAGTAAGGATCCACCCTAACTCCAACCCCCAGCGTGGAGGGCCAGGAGACAGGGTCTGTCGGTCTCTAACCACTGATCAAACTATGCGGATACAAAATCTGATATCTGGACTCTTGGACAGAGAGGGTAACAGTAGAAA